AGAGATGAACCATGAGAGACTATGGACTCTGAGAAACTGAGGGTTTTAGAGGGGAGGGGGGTGGGGGCATGGGTTAGCCCGGTGATGGGTATTAAGGAGGGCACATACTGCATGGAGTACTGGGTGTTAAACGAAAACAATGAATCGTGGATCACTACATCAAAAACTAATGATTTATTGTATGGTGAGTAACATAACATAATAAAATAAAATTTTTAAAAAATTGCAGATGTAGAATATTCACATTTTACAACTTATCTTGTCAAATTACCCTGCAGAAGGAAGTGTACTAACATATCCATGTCAGTTTATAAGACCTTCCTATTTCCACCACATATTCACCAAAACAGTATTTTTTTATGATTGGCTGTTTTATTTTTAATTCATTTGAATTAATTTGACCATTTATTGTTATTCTTTTGTGAATTATTTTTTATCACTTGTCTAATTTCATATTATGTTTTCATATTTTCCTTTTGGATTTAGAAGATATTCCTATTTATTATAATTAATCTGTGTCATTTGTCTTTTAATCTTGTTGAAGTATTCTCTGATACACGAGATGTTTAGATTTTATTTAGCCAAACATTTTCCTTTAAAGTTTCTGTACAGAAAAAGAGTAAATGTAAGAAAACACCCATTTCCCCAACTCAGGAAATTTTAACATTTTGTTAGTTTGAACCAATTTTAAAAATATATTACAAAGAAATTTAAATCATCTTTGAACAAAATTGTCAATCCCATTTCCTCCCACCTCTTCCATCAAGTCAACTATGATGTTTGGTATGTAATCTTCCAGATACTTTTTAAATAAACTTTTTTTTATAGTTTAATGTATTTTAATATCAAACTTACAGGAACAGCACAGAAGACAGACAACATTAAAAACATGTACTTGCATGTAGGACAACTCAAAAAAGTATAGCAAATGGATGGATCTACTGTATGATAAAAATGCTACAAACTTTTAATGATAGAATAGCTTTAGATTTACAGAAAAGTAGCAAAGATAATACAGAGATCCTGTACACTCCTCACACAGTTTCCCTGTTGTTAACATCCTTCATTACCATGGTACATTTGTCATGACTAAGAAACCAACGTTGGCAAATTGCTATTAATTAAACTCCACATTTTATTCACATTTCACTAGTTTTTCCACTAAAGTCCATTTTCTGTTCCAGGATCCCATCCAGTGTATGTTATATTTAGCCATTATATCTCTTTAGTCTCCTTTGGTTTGTGAGAGTTTCTTACATCTTCCTTGTTTTTCATAACCTTGGACATTCTGATTAGGTGTTTTGTATAATGTTCCTCAGTTTGGGTTTGTCTTATGTTTTTCTCATGGTTAGAATGGGGTTATGGCTTTTTGGGAAGAATATTGCAGAGATGAAGTGCCCTCTTCCTCTTATCATATCAAGGAGGGTGGTACATGATATTAACATGACATATCACTGTGATTTAACTATTACTTTGATACCTGGCCAAGGTAGTATTACATGCATCCATACAGATATAAATAGAGGACTGAATGAATAAATGGAGAAGAGAGACAAATCTTCCTTGTAGAATTCCAGATAATGTTATAGATACTACTCCCTCCAGGAGGTGTATGTATTCAGTCCCTCCTCCCCTTGAGTATGATCTGTGTCTAATGACATGCTTCTAAAGAACAGAGTACAAAATGGGGAGAAAAGTTAATTTTACAGTGGAGAAATTATATATTTTTTAATATTATTGTATATGCATTTATGCATCCATAAACATGTATAGTTTTAACAGTCCTGCAAAATGCTTTTTTTCCTCTAAAAAATTAGACATTTTATATTTCTCCACATTGACATTTGTATAGAGATTTAGATCATTCCTTCCAATTGATATATATCATATTTCATTACATAGGTATCATATTTTATTATTACATTGTATTATTTATTCCAGTATTTTGCTATTACACACTTCAGTGAATATCTCTGTATCTGTCTTCTGGGCAAATATGTGAGATTTCTATAGAGTGTATATCTAACAGTGGAATTTCTAGATTGTGGAAGGTGGGTATTTTCAACTCACTGGTTGTTGCCATGTATTCACCAATTGCAGTAGAACCAGCTCGCTATATAATTGGCAGGGCTTGAGAGTTCTTCTTTCCTTTTCATCAGCACAATACTGGATAAATGCATTGACAAAGTTATTTTGCCCATTCTAAGTCCTTTTTATTGAGTCAGAAATTTTAGAATGAGCTGATCAATTGTTACAAAAACTTCTTCTGGCATGCTGGTTGATCTGGCTGGAATTGATCTGGTTGGAAACCATGGGTCAATCTGGAGAGAATTTATATCTTTAAAATACTGAGTCTTCTAACTGAACATAGTATAGTATATCTGCATTTATTTTAATCTTCTTTAATTTTTCTCAGTAATGCTTTACTGCATAGATTTTATACATCTTTTGTCAGATTCATCTCTAAGTATTTTTCATTTTTAGATGCTATTGAAGATGGCATTTTTTAAAATTTCAATTTCAGATTGTTCCTTACTAGTATATAGAAAACAATTGACTTTTGGATATTTCATTTTCTTACCCTGCTGCAATGGGAGTAAAATCTTGAATGGAAGTAGTTAACAATATCACTTTCTTGTTTCTGAACTTAGAAAACATTCAGTTTTTCATAAATAAGTATGATGCAAGCTGTAGGTTTTTGTAGATGCCCTTTATCAGTTTGAGAAAGATCTCTTCCATTCCTATATTAGTGAGAGTTTTTATCAGGAATGAATGTTGGATTTTGTCAGATGCTTTTTCTGCATCTAATGAGATGATTAAGTGCCTTTTCTTTTTTAGTTTCATAAAATGGCAAATTACATTAACAAATTTTTTAATGTTAAAACATTAAACCAACCCTTGTATTATTGGAATAAACCCTATTTAGTTATGATGTATCATTAATTTTATTTTATTATCATATTGTTTTTGATTTAAAATTTTGTTCAGAGTTTTTGCATTTATGTTCATGAGATACTGGTTTGTGATTTTCTTTTTTTTTTAAACATTGAATTAGCTTTTCTTTCTTTCTTTCTTTTTTTTTTTTTTGTTACACGTTTTTATTTAAATTCTAGTTAGTTGGGGCACCTGGGTGGCTCAGTCAGTTAAGCGGAAGTTAAGCAGAAGTCAGACTTCTGCTCTGAATTTGGGGTTGTGAGATTGAGCCCTGTATCAGGCTTTGTGCTGGTTGTGGAGTCTACATGGGATTCTAGCTCTTCCTCTTTGCCTCTCCCCCACGCTGCCCACACTCTTTCTCTCTCTCTAAAAAAAAAAAAAATTCTAGTTAGTTAACATGTAGTATAATATTGGTTTCAGGAGTAGAATTTAGTGGTTCATCACTTACATATAACACCCAGTGCTCACCATAAGAGAGTTCCCCTTTCTCTGCATCCCCGCCAACATCGGTTTTTTACTGTGTTGTTCATTTTAGCCATTCTGACTGGTGTGAGGTGGTATCTTATAGTGGTTTTGATTTGTAGTTCCCTGTTGCTGAGTGATGTTGAGCATTTTTTCATGTGTTTGTTGGCCATTTGTAGGTCCTCTTTGCAGAAATATCTTTTCGTGTCTTCTGTCCATTTCTTGATGGAATTTTTTGGGGGGCGGTGTTGAATTTGATAAGTTCTTTGTTGGTTTTGGATACTAGCCTTTTATCTGACATTTCATTTGCAAATATCTTCTCCCATTCTGTAGATTGCCTTTTAGTTTTGTTGACTGTTTCCTTACCTGTGCAAAAGCTTTTTTATCCTGATGAAGTCCCAGTAGTTCATTTTTGCTTTTGTTTCCCTTGTCTCTGGAGATGTGTCTAGCAAGAAGTTGCTGCATCTGAGGTCAGAGAGGTTGCTGCCTGTGTTCTCCTCTAGGATTTTGATGGATTCCTGTCTCACATTTAGGTCTTCCATCCATTTTGAGTTTATTGTGGTCCAGTTTCATTCTTCTGCATGTGGCTGTCCAATTTTCCCAACACCTAAAATGAATGTAAATAATTTTAGAAGCAAGTTTCATAACAATGTAATATTATAGCATAATCCGAATTTTGCCTTTATGTATGTATATACATACATTCATGCCTGTGCATATGTAGATATAGAAAAATGTCATTTGCGTCTGCCTGAATCATAAGATCTTGAGTATTTTTTTCCTTTGGCTTATTGTAATTTTTAAAACTTTTCACATTGAATATGTCTTATAAGTATATCAAAATTAATAAAAACCTAATAAAGGAGTTAGAGAAAAAAGTCAAGGTAAAAACCATACTTGTCTTCAGTGGTATCTATTACTATAGTATCACAGTGACCAGACATAGCACAAATACTACCTTGAATTTAAAACATTGTTGTCAGACCAAATCAGTATTTGATGCTTTTTTTGTATGTGTGGTCCTGGTAAAAGAAAGGTATTAAAAAGTCTTGTTGGCTCATTGGTTTAGAATGAAAAATTTATCTCCTCAAATTATGAGATTTCATCACAGGTTTCAGAATGCCCATGGGTAGACCTCAGATCTCCCATTATAGTATGATTTTCATGATTCTGTTTATCATTTTCTCCCACATACTAAAATTAAATAAAAATGTGTGTTTCTCCCATGGAGTCATGAGCTCTTGGAAGATAACTGAACTATTGTGCTCATTTGCTCTGTAAACCATTACAGATGTTTAGATTACCTGGAGCAGAACATTGAGAAAACAAATCTGTTAGACTGGCATATGCTTAGAAACATTACAAAAATAAAACCCTGCTAGAATTAGTATCATTCTTTAAAATAAAAGAAATTTAACAACTCTCTCTTCTAAAAAAAAGATACTGTCTTACACCTTTAACTTGATTAAGTTCAGTTTATTTTATCCAATATTAATGTTAACATTATATAATTGTGTTTGCTTTAAAAAATTTTTGTCATTAACTGTGAAAATCTTGCAATAAAACTACTGTTCTGGTTAAAATGAATGTTTGCTTGTATATAGGGTCAGTAGAGAGGATGATGAAGCTTTCCAGACCCCATCCCTAAAGGACAAAAACAGAAGAGAAAACATGAACCAGAATATGAATGTGCCCAGAAGTTTTGAGAGATCATACTCTCCCACTGCAAGTGAACCCTCTAATATTAAGTTTAATACTGGGGTGAGCATCTTCACTAAGAATGTAATGCTAGTGGTATAAAAAGATAAATTTTATTTTAATGTTTGAATTCAAAGGAGACTTCAGAGTTCTTAGCCAGGGAAGGCCAAGTAAGGAAGAGTCTGTAAAACAATGCAATTAATTTTCTAATTCAGAAGTTAAAAATGATAGTTAAAAATCAGATTTTACTCTCAGCTTTGTTATTTTTGAGTCACTTATCTCACTTTTTAAAATTGTTAGTTCATTCAGAGTTGAAAAAGGGTCCTAACAAAAGTTACCACGATTTACACATATATATAAAAGCCATTTAAAAAAAATGTTTTAATTCAATTAGCCACCGTATAGTGTACATACTTACCTTCATATGTAGTGTTCAATAATTTATTATTGGGTTGTGTATAACACTCAGTGCATGAAAGCCACTTAAATTTATGAATTGGAATGCATTGGCACTTCCTAATGGACTGTTCCCCAACCGTTCCCTCATTAGCATGGGAAAATTCATTGGATTGCCAAGAATTTCTTTCATTGTTCTCCTGATTGTCTATTCCCTACAGTTTCCCTAATGAAGACTAGGGATTCTGAGATGATCAGCATTTCTCAGAGTTGCCCATAAACATGCCTTCACTGAGGGGCTTATGAGTCAGTTGTGAAGCAAAGTGGGTGTTGTATAACCAGAGTGCAGAATTTTGAGCCAACTGGAACTGGAATTCCTGTTCTATAATTTACTGGCTATTTGACTTTGACCAAGATATTTAACATATTTGTGCTTCAATTTCATTCTCCATGAAACTGTTTTAATGAGTTAATACTAGTAAAATGTGAGTTGAATATGTTTGGGATGAATCAGTTACAAAATATGATTTTTCTCCTCTCCTTGCTTGCCCATTTCTCCTGCTGTATCACTCTTCCCTATTTCCCTCTCTTATGAAGATGCAGAAGAAGGAAGATTTGCAGACCAGGGTAGAAAAGTTGATTCTTACATTTGCATATTCTTTCACTCTAGAAATATATCTAATAAGCCATCTTGTAAAAATCAGAACATGAGAAAAAAATTTTCCTTCTAAACTTTACCTTATTTCTGGCCAGTGACAACATCCAAATGCTGATTGGTTCATTCAGATAATATTGGTTGATTGACTAGAGATATTTTTTTCATGATGTATTATGGGGTGTCCAAAATGTTGGGAAATACAAGGTAAGCAGCATATTGTTAAACTATTGGTTACATATTCCAAGTAATACGCTCTCTATGCTTTTCTTTAATATTCAGACTACCTTTTCAGGGGAAGTCTCTACATTTAAAGCAACAGGTTTTGTTGTTAATCTGAGAAAATATATAATCAACTATAGATGGGCCCCAAAGCCTGAAAAAATAAAGAAAATAGTATACTTAGGTACATTTTTTCAAATTAACAATTAGACACTTGCTTTAAATTTAGAAGTTGAAGAAAAAGTGCTGAGCATATTATTGCAGTTTAAAAATAAATTCATTTTCTGTTTCCTGACTATCCACTATCACATGGATTAAAACCTAGCAATGGAAACTTGTTACATATGCACATTATGGGAATGCTTCACTTATCAAATAGAGGTAGGATTGAAGAATCATGATTTAATGTTGATGAAGACTGATGTCATGTTATTTTGCTCAGAGATGCTATGAATATGTTAGTGATAAAAATCATCCTTTTGAGTTTTTCAGTATAATTTGATTAGAAGCCAAGCGTCAACATATTACCCAGAAAGGAAGTTTTGCTTGTTACCTGTGTGCTAACCACGGCTGTGTTCTACACAAGGGTATATTGATAGAATGTGTACATACATCTTCTACCATAAGATTCAGAAAATTAATGTCATTGAATTTCATTAAGGTTTGTAACCATTGTAATGCCGTCTTTCTCTCCTCTTGTCAGTGGTCTCTTAACTGCCAGCAGTTCTGTGCCATGTTCATAAAGAGGGCTATGTTCTCTTGGCGCAACTGGAATTTGATGTTGATGCAGATCCTGGGACTTCTGGGCATTGTTTATTTTCTCATGAGAGGAATGGAAATTTCAAGAAATAGAGTTGAAAATGCCAGGGAAATGGATTTGGAACAATATGGTCAAACCATAGTGCCTTTCTCAGATGATGATCGTTCTGATTTTTCTCAGAATTTAACAAAAATTCTTGAGATGATGCTAAAGGCTAAGAAACAAAAACTTCAGGAAGTGAAAGGTAAGGCTCTTTCAAAAAGAAAAAGACTACTAATAGATGAAAACCTGCTTATATCACTTCCAAAGAGAGGTCCTGACTGGAATACTTAGCTGTTCCTCTTTACTTTCTTGATAGTCACCAATCTCATAAAGGCAGCCAAATCAGAGACAAGAATCATCCTTCATGGAGACTGGCCACAGAAGTTAATTATTAATGGAGGCACTTTGACTGTGGGTCATCTGCCAGCTATTTGCTACATCTTCTAGGGAATGAATTGAAGTATTAAATATTTTGTTTTGTAAAATTTAGCACAAAATCTCACATAAAACCAGGCTCACAATGTGGTACTAAATCCCAAACGTCTTCACACAAGTCTCTATAGATTAGCCATATTTTAAAACAGGTTAGGTTGAAGACTTTATGGGCAGGCTACTCTGAACTCACTTATTTGGAAGGTAGTAATAATAATTAATTACATGTACGGAACACTACTTTCGGCAAGAACTTTTCTAAATATTTCAATTATCTCGATTTCTATAACGATTATACTTGCTTGAGGCTTGGAGATGTTAACTAAGTTGCCCCAAATAGTGCATCTAGTATGTATTAGAGAAGGCACTAGATTTTAGGACTGCCTAGTGGGAGTCTGCAATATTAACCCACTCACTACACTAAATCATCTCTAAGGAGCAAGTCTATCGTCTTTCAAGGCTGATCATTTCCTTCCAGGTGTTTCCTTTGCATTTCCTTCAGCTGCTGCCTCATTGACAGTATTGGTTTAGGTTAGCATAGAGCCTGTGCAGTTTGGCAGGTTGTTTCTCCTTTATCCTTTAGGTTCCATTGTGGGAGATGAAAATGCACTGGGAAATGTTGGTTATTACTTCTATCAATATTCTGATTTTACAACATATACATTATAGGCTGGGTGGCATAAAAGCTGTCATTAAATCACATATTCCTTTTCCTCCATCCATGACAGGAGTACTAGACGAACGCTTATTGTCAAAGATCACATAGTTTAGCAGAGAAGAGGGGAGAGAAGAGGGAGAAATTAATTTCCCTGATTCATAATGTGGTCCCTTTTCCACTATATTATGTTGTTTAGACAAAAATAAAAAGACTGTACCTCACAGATCTATCAATAGTAATGTTGTTTCAAATGGCAAGATTGCATTCTTTTTTCATGCTGAGTAATATGCATGTGTGTATCTAACATATATATGTATATATGTGTGTATATATATCCATTCTTTATCTGTTCATCTATCACTGGATACTTGGGTTGCTTCCATAATTTGGCAATTGTAAATAATTCTGCAGTAAACATAGGGGTGCATATATCTTTTCAAATTAGTGTTTTTGTTTTCCTTGGGTCCATACCCAGTAGTGGAATCACTGGATCATATGGTATTTCTATTTTCAATGTTTTGGGGAACCTCCATACTGTTTTCCACAGTGGCTGCACCAGTTTGCATTCCCACCAACAGTGCACAAGGGTTATC